ATCGGCTTCTCGTAGCCATGCTTTTAAGGAGTCATTGCCGAGGGACGACGTCTCTCCCAGGTCGGCATGCTTAGGGTTTAGGGTTTAGGGGGCATGTCTTTAGCAACTTGGGAGTGGTTGGCCTGCCGAACAGCACGTGATTTGGTGGGGCAGAGCTTCCGGTTGCCAAGCCCGCCTTGAAGGTCGCAGCGCAGACGCGGTCGCTCCAGCATGCACTTGCACCCCGATCCTGTCCTGTGCCCTTCGGGGCAAGGGTATAGTGAGGGAGTGGCTGTTGGTGTTGCTGCCGCCGTGAGGCCAAAATTTTGGATGCATGCTTGTGCATGAGGATCGGAAACAACCTCGAACTTGTCTCCGGCATTTGGGGATCGTTTGCAGCAGGTCAGTCGACTTTGACAGGGGGTTGTTCCCGGGAGTTCCGAAAGCAGTTTGCTGCGCAGCGCCGCTCTTGCATCGAGAAGAAGCCGCCGCACCGGGAGAAGCACGAGAGGTCACTGGCGCAGGCGCCTCAGCAAGAACAGGCTTGAACGGAGCACGAGAAGAAGTACTGCACAAAACCTCTACAATATATAGAGATGCTCACGGAAATTTGTGGATGATACACAATTTTAAAGATCCAGCTTACGGCTTTTCTCGAAGTATCCCGCATCTGGCAATTGCGCGCATCGAATGCCCTGAGCTTTTCGCCTTCCGTGGTGCCGCACCAGACCTAGATGCAACAAATAAGTGTGTTGAAGGCTCATGGCTGTAGCAGTATTTTTGGATTCTTCTTCTGGCCCAGCCATGCACGAAGTAGACAAACCCCAGACATGGAGGTGATTGCGTTTTTGCAGAGTCGCTTGAGAGGTGCCCGCGGCAGCATGGAGACTCGATGTCCAGCTTTTGTTCCAGAGGCCCCGATGCTTCACCAAGGGATCCTCTTTCGGGGTGCTCGGCTCCCGATCTTTGGTTTCAGCCACTGGGTTGTGGGACGTAGATGCGCATCGTCGGGGCTTCGAAGAGTTTTCTGGGTTCACAGGGTCCAAGCATCTAAAGCACTTATAGAGTCGTGTAATCCACGGAGTTCGAGTTTTTGCCGACTCCTGGGCAGTAGCATTGCACTGGTCGTCACTGGGGCGGGCTGATCGCTCTAAGGGCGTTTGCATTTGTAGTCGGAGTCCCTATCCTGTGACAGTGGACACTGGTAGTTGAGACTGACACCTTTCCATGTGGTAGACTTTCTGGACTTCTGGCCTCGGTCTTTCAATTTTCAAGTATGCACACCTTCAAGGTCTCTGGTCCTTCAGTTAAAGTTGAGGATGTCTATACTGTGTAGACGTTCTGCGTTTTCAGGCTTAAGACGGGAGGTTGAGAAGTTGAGGGTCAAGGGTCTCATTCTCAGGAGCCGAAGGGGGGGGTCTTCTCAACAGGAGGATACAGGGACAGACAGCTTTCAGTTCAGGCCTGCAGGTATGAGTTGAGGTTTTGTGATCTTGGGGCTTCTGCATGCAGTGAGTGAGGTGTCGAACTTGAGATTGCGGCTGAGAGTTGAGGATCTGACTGAATCTGACTTAAACACAGGTGAGTGGTTGGCGATTCAGGATTGGGCTCCGGGGCCGAACGCGTGCTTTCATTCAAGCCTTGATGCCTCTGTCAACTTTCGGTATTCCGTGCAGGACATCTCTTAGTGCATCCGTCGTTTCCTCTCCTCGATGTTTATGTCGAGAATTGCAGAGATTCCTCCGTGGCTCGTCGTGTCGCAAGCGTAAAGAGCACAGGACCAGCTGGAGCCAATGTAGTCGTGAGACTCAGCCTGGCAAGCACCAGCGCATTGAAATGGATTTCGTAGGTGGGGAGCTTGCATTCCAGGAGTGCGTGTGCTCGTAAGTTTCGACTAGTCAGTCTTCTGCAGCTTGTGATGTATTCGCCGTACTGGTTTTTCAATTCCAAAGCAAGCCCAGACACTCTCGTTGTTTTGGCCCCCTGGAGGCGCCTCCAGGCTCGATGATGTTAGGTTCCCGACCCACCCAGAGGCCGCGCCCACGGCGGAGAGAAGTGGGTGGATCCGGTTTCGGACTCTGTTTGGTATTGGAGGGTTGTTTGTGACTAAGATGATTGTTGGGGCTTTGGGGGTTCAGGGGTACTAGGCATTCAGGTTTGTGCCATGCTTGGGCCAAAGATAGTCGGGAACCAGCTTGCTTTCTCTGCTTTTGATGTACTTGATGATTTGAGTCCATATCGTGCCCGGTAAGTCGCGGTTTTCGCAGCTCTCAAGAGATGAAGCTGTGGCGTATGCGGGCTTTAGGAGTCTGCTGCCCGGATCTGCGGTGCAAGCTGCGAGATTGGAGTCGTTGTCGAAGTTTACGGTCTCAAGTTTTGGATTCCAGTCTTGCAGTGCTTCTGTGTCAGGTTTGAATGGGCCCTATCTGGCCGCCATCTGTCTCTCTGTTCAGCTATTTGAGGGTCTAGGGAACTTGCAACTCGGGCTGCATTTCGAGGCGAATGCGACGTTGGGGAATCGGTTGTGAGCAGGGTGCTGGGTTGGTTCTTTCCTGGGGTTTCGGCGGCTCGTTGGTCCTCGCAGTGTTTTGGGGCCCTGGCAACGGGAAGACCGGTTGCTTTGTTCGGATCGGCTCTCAGTGTTAAGTTCAGTTTCTGGAGGGACATTTCCCCCGAGCACCTCGGTAGGTGTGCCTGCTTCGGTTGTCATGCGGCAGACTGGGAGAAGGACCGATCTGTGCCATGTCGGCAACAGACTGGAGAGCCCAGATCAGACCAGAAGGCACGATCCAGGAATTTCGAGATCAAAGTAATAATTAAGTAGTCCACAGCCACTCATCGAAGATAAACCCAGGCAAACCCTCAATCGTGAGGCACTGAGCGCACTAAAGCTTCAGGCTCATCTACACAGCTGCAAATGAACCCATTATTGCATCCTGGAGCTTATCGCTTGAAATATCGATGACCTGCTGAAGCGTCAAACATCCAAGCTCTCTAGCACGTTGCCGCGACGGAAGTCTTGTGCTGCATGATTCACACTTCTTTAGCAAAATCCTCTGGACACACTACAGTCAGTGAACAAATGCCTACACCAGTTCAATGGCTTAAACCCACCGCCCGTTTTCTAGACCAGCTCACGTTCACATGTGAAGAGCTCCCTCCGTTTTTCAGCTCTTGATGAGCTTACTTTGGGGGTTCACAGTCCGGCAGCTAGCATCGGAAACTTCAGGGTCACGACGCAAACCCGAAGCCCAGCAGAAGCTATCTCGTCCAAACAGTGGGCACCATCTAGGCCTACTAAGTCTACTAAGCCCCAAACTGCCGGAAGACCTCTGCCTGATGAGAGCGACCTGTGAGGATCTTGCGGTCGGAGCCCGGTCGAACCAGGAGGCATAGGCCGGGGCTCGGAGCGATTCGGCGTCGTCTCTGCATTCGCGGCTAGCCCATGGTTTGCAGTGAGAGAAAAAACGTAAGACCCTGCTGCCAGTCGAAGAGACTTCTGTGAGTTGCATGCTCTAGTAGAATTGGCACCCACCAGTATTGTGTAGATGATAAAGCATGCCATCCACTTCCTTGCAGCTACACTTGCAGCAGTTCTCTGAGGCTCGATTCGTTTGTAGCGCGCGGAAGCTGGCTTGTGCTCTTTACAAGCTTCGCGCTTCTCCCCGCCTTTACTTTTCGAATTTCTCAGTCCGAGATGAGGAAGAGGCTCTCATGCCGGTGGATGGTTGCGCTCTTGGCGGGAGTCTGGTTTCATGGGGGCTCCGGGCCCAGCCTTTGCGGAGGCACCGCAAACAGGTGTCTGCAGATGGATGCCCTGAGCGTAGCCGGTGATCACCGGAGCTTCGCGCATCGAGTTTCTCGCAGAGTTCGAGAGCGAAGGCGACAAGCTCCGGAGCACACTTCAGATGGTGAGGCCAGACGATTAACGTCTGAAATAACGAAGGCTGGCTCCACTTCGGAGTTGCTCTCACTTCTGGAGAAACCTGCGGAGAATGCCAACCTCTTCAACCACTTCCACATGTCTGCGTCGTTGACGAGGCTGGCCAGGTTCAAGAGGAGGGGCCCATTTCGACAGGCCGATGTGAGCAGCCCAGTGTGGGCCAAGCTCGCAGCCCGACTGCTTGGTATGCTCCGAAAGGACTCGCTACCAACACGTGAGGCAGTAAATGTGCTTCATGCAGCAGACGAGCTTTCTGAGGAGATGGCGAAACACGTGTCACAGGCGCTTCCAAAGCTGTACGAAGCCATTCGAGCAAAGGCTTCCGGAATGAACGCTCAGCATTTGTCCAACTCCCTGTTGGCCACT